TTTTTTCATTGAGCTAAGCAGCACATCTTGCTTCTGGTACTTTAAGGGCGAACACCTTACACCTATTATTAATATCTTTTATCGCTTGACATAAACAAAATCACTACATTCAATATCATGCTCATCACTTACTAGGGTTTAACAGCAACCCTTTGCAATTTTTAGCATTTAAATAAGCAATACAATGTTCTTGTTCCTTGAGCTTTTGATTAAATCAATAGCTGGGTGGCTGGTTGGCAGGTTAACAATGCAGTGATGGCGTGTAAAAAGTAAATCCTTGCCGAGCCACTACGGCCCATAGGGGATGGAGTTTATCCCCAGTTTCTGTAGCATGAAGCGGATGAGAGCATGATGCTTCCCCTGGGTAAGGACGCTAGTCCACCACAGGTTACTCCCAGCAGTTTGCTGGTACCTATTGATACAGTTGGGTAGACTGAAGCAATGTAGATAAAATGTATTGCTCAAGGACACAAGTGAAATACACAGTGAAGCATTGAAAACTCGACCTCAAGGTTGGGAAACCAAACCATTTCCACTGTGCCAAACCACTTCCACCAGTGATGGTTTGTGGTCCTGTTAAATTTGTGTTTTATTTTTTGGTTAGTATAGGTTATAGGTTATAGGTTAGTATAGGTTATTTTTAACTTTATATTAAAAACAAAATTAAAGTATCCTGGGTGAAGTCACTACTGTACACATACTGTCTCTTGTACACATCTAGATGTGTATAAGAGACAGCCATTTTATACATCAGTATTACATATTCTTCTTGAGGGACGTGCCTTAATTCCAGCAGAACATTATTGATTGATTGATTACATATTTTTCCTTCATATTACTATTACTAATTTTTTTTGATAATGTTGTTTCATGCTCTTAAACATCACAGCAGTAAGAGTGGCGTATCTCATCCCCCTTCCCCAAAAAAAATACTCGCACCCCTTCCCAAAAAAAAATCACGTAAAGATAACCCTATTTTGCAAATTAGCGCCCCTCAACTGATTATCGAGCCCCCCTCCCATTTTAGGACTTCTAGATACGCGACTGCAGCAAGAAAATGGAAGTTGCGGTTGTTCAATGGTTTTTTTCTTTTAGCTAAGCAGCACATCTTGCTTCTGCAACTAATACCGGGGAGAACACCGCACACCTATAATTATTACCTTTCATCGATTGACAAAAACAAAATCACTTGCGTGAGAATATAATTATAGGCCTCGCATGAGGGCGTGAGGTGGAAGTTAATGCGTGAGACTCACGTCTGCATTCAATACTGTATATCACTTTAATGGGGCAACATATTAAACATTTAAATAAACAATACAATGTTTCTGTAACTTGAGCTTGTGAATAAAAATAGCTGGGTGTTTTTATGGGCTATAAATATTATCATATATTTTCGTAGTGCTTAGATTTCAGTACAGTATAATTCATAATTTTTTAATTTCACTCAAAACGTAATGAGTCTGGTAGACCAAAAAAGGGAACGTGTCCTGTACAAGATGCCTACCAGAGAAAATACCTATACCTACCATTATAAATACCTATACTAAAACAAAGGTTAACATACATTTTTAATTATTAATTTGTTCGATTTCATTTGTTTGTCTTGTTAGATATTTATAAACATTATTACATTAAAAACACAGCTACCTTCCCCAAAGGAGATATATTCGTTAGGTCGCCGAAACAATAAACTCAACTAAAAATAACTGTGTTTGATAAAATACTTGTAAAACTCTATACAAATAAAAACGTAGGTACGCCTGTCAATATTAGGAATGGGTTTTGCACTACCTAACGTGTTATACTGAATGCTCAGTACGTTTTTAAATTGTTAATTTTGTTATATTGTTTATAATACTGAAAACTTTTTTAAAACTACATTTAAAAGTATAATTTTGAATGGAGACAAGAGTACCACTAAAAGAGTAAAAAAATTTGCATATACTGTATTAAAATATCAAGTAACACCATAGTATATGTACACCTGTTTGTGGACACACATCTTTGGGAAATATGCAGTTTAAAGCTTGTTATAGCACTAAACAATACTGTCAGCTAATGAACAACTTTTTCACTTTATAATTTTTGGAAGTATGTCCATGAAGTATTCAATCATGTCCACAATCAAAATCTCCTTAAATGTATCAATTATACAGTACCCAAGGTCTACATACAAACAGTTCTTTATTACATAAATACATACACACACGATATATAGCGGCGACCTAAGCTTTTCTAGCTTAACCATACCTTCACTATGTGTGAGCATTTCAGTCAGGCGAGTGCATGAAAGAAAGTGCCTGGGGGGTTGGATCTACACATACCCCTACAAGTCTCTGTAGATGTATGATACTCGTCTTGATTGCAAGATGCTGGTTCGAATCCAGACAGACACCCTTTTTCACACAACCTTCATTGAAGGGCTATGCTTGATACGATTATAACATATTTTTAATAAGCACTGTTACTATTTATCTATTTAATATATATTCCATATAGACCATTTAATACATTGTTTTCCTTCATATCACTATTACTACCTTTATTGGTAATGTTATTTCATGCTCTTAAACATCACAGCAGCAGGACAATGGAAGAAGTTGCAGTTGTTCAATGGTTTTTTCATTGAGCTAAGCAGCACATCTTGCTTCTGGTACTTTAAGGGCGAACACCTTACACCTATTATTAATATCTTTTATCGCTTGACATAAACAAAATCACTACATTCAATATCATGCTCATCACTTACTAGGGTTTAACAGCAACCCTTTGCAATTTTTAGCATTTAAATAAGCAATACAATGTTCTTGTTCCTTGAGCTTTTGATTAAATCAATAGCTGGGTGGCTGGTTGGCAGGTTAACAATGCAGTGATGGCGTGTAAAAAGTAAATCCTTGCCGAGCCACTACGGCCCATAGGGGATGGAGTTTATCCCCAGTTTCTGTAGCATGAAGCGGATGAGAGCATGATGCTTCCCCTGGGTAAGGACGCTAGTCCACCACAGGTTACTCCCAGCAGTTTGCTGGTACCTATTGATACAGTTGGGTAGACTGAAGCAATGTAGATAAAATGTATTGCTCAAGGTTAGTATAGGTTATAGGTTATAGGTTAGTATAGGTTATTTTTAACTTTATATTAAAAACAAAATTAAAGTATCCTGGGTGAAGTCACTACTGTACACATAATATCATTACAAGACATGTAAGAGTTAAAACTTACGTTAAATTTAACTTTTTTTAGTTTATAGTAGAAGATTATGCAGATTTAGAGGATATTACAACCCCAACAACAAGTTTGAGGATAGTCTGGACAATAAACATCATTCTCAAAACCATAGACCCAAAATCGTGAGTCTACATCCTTCCACTTGTAATGAACTTCACTGACAGGAACAGCCCGGAGAATTTGACGCTGAAAAAAAGAATTTAAAATCCAACCTAAAAAATAATATACAGCTGTAGTGAAATGCCAGTAACCACTAAATGCTACTAGCTTTTATATTACTAATAAATCTTTACCTTATGCAATTCAAATATTTCAAGATTTAATGTTATACCTTAAATATTTTAATATATATCGTATTGCATAGCACATAACAATGAAATCATGTGCTTATGTGGTGGGGGTATCTTCTTTATTATTTAACTGACAAAAAGGGATACAATCTGTGCCTTCAAATTAAATTGTGGTCTAATTTTCCTGGTTTAACAATACATATTTGTAGACTTAAAGAGTGGGAAAATGAAGATATAAGAGGGGCAACAAAGATTAAAGATGTATCTGAAAAAAACTGTCTAAAACAAAGTGGGAGTGGGCAAGTCATGTAGCTCGCATGGACCATAACAGGTAGGCCAAAAATTTAAAAGTATGGTCGCCATACAGACACAAAAGATGAAGAAGAAGACCTAACTAGAGATGGAGTAATCTTTTCCAGAAGGAGCCTCTAGTGTGAACTGGGCAAATCCTGCAAAGAACAAACCAAAATAGAGTTTGTGGAGACCATCGGCCAGCAGTGGCCTGATGATGATGATAATGATGATGATAATGATTTGTATTGTTATATAACATTCTTTATTAGAGAAATAAGTGTAGTATAGTTAACAGGTAAGGGATCCTAACAAAACGACCCACTTAAACTGGACCTTGGAGGTGTAATATCCTGATACACCCTGACCTTCCCCTAGAAACGAATATCTATTTAATTTCTTCCCTGCTATGCAACTGACGTATATATACAAATAATTTTGAAAAATAAAAATAAAAAAACTGCCTAACCTGCTGAAGCTGCCTCTCATTTGGCCAAGCAGAACGATGCGCCTCAGTTATACGAATGGAATTCTGGTTTATCTCAGGCACAGTGTACTGAGAGATTGGCCAAACCTAAAAGGTAATAATAATAACAATAATAATACTAATAATAATAATAATAATAATAATGTAGATTTCAGAATTTCCCAATGGTAAACCCGTCAGCACTTACTTGTTATTAACAACTAAATTATTAGATGACAAAGTCTTAAAAACAGGGAATTGAAACACCACAGTGTGGGATTCATGGATATAAACAATAAGTAAAAATATATCTTGGATTGGTTTTAACCATCTCTGTTCATATTATCATTAATATTATCCTGGATATTTGCAACATATCTTGATGTACTGAAATGCATTTGGGGTGGTTGGGTGGGGGAACAACAAGTAAAAAAGAAGCGTTTACATTTAAGCAAAATAGATTGATTTCCTGAAAACTTACATATTCTAAAGTCTGCTCAAACAAATTTTGGCCATTCACATTTCGAATCAGGTGATCAGGCAAATCTGTTTTCTCATAAATATAATCACTTAGGTGGTTGGTGCTGTAAAAAGAATGACATTCAATGTGTCAGTTCTATGCCAATCATTAAAATATATTGACAGTTTCACCAAACCTCTTCAGCATATTACAGATAGTAGGATTTTGTGCATACTTGGCCAGATAGATACATTTTCAGAGTTCAGAGATGCACAATAGTATCATTGGATTTACATGCTCGGAAAAACAGCCTGGTAATTTTCAATGGTCAGCCTTGTTAAACTTACTGCATGGTTTTGGTAAGCTGAACAACGAGTATGTTACGCAGGCATAGAACTGGATTTGTTTTGCTAAACTGACCATAATTATATGGTTAGTTTGAACAACAGTTTATCTGAACAAGGCAGCAGTTTAAAGAGCATCATTCAATTCTGTAACTGTGAAGGCATCTTGTGAAAGAGATGGCCAGTTAGAAAGTGATTAAATTACTGGCATATCCCTTGGTTCCTGTGCTTAATATTAAATAACTAAACAATACCATGTTCATGGAATCACTTACTAATTAATGAACAGTTTGATAAAGAATCGTAACTGCCTACACCCTTCACAAATGGGACAGGTAATACGTCCATCACCGCCACATCGGAAGCACCTGCAAATAAGTTGAACCAATTTAACATAATTATACTAATTAATGGTTTGAGGCAAATCAATACAGGATATCTAAATCTAGGATAAATATAATTCAATTAATTGAAGATATGAAAATGACTATTTTGCTTGTGTTCTTGGGCAAAGCATTTTATCTACAGTCATCTCTCTCCACCCAGGAGTACAAATGGGCACCCAGTAGGTTCAAACACAAAATGCGCTGATTAAAGCTGAAAGATTATGGAATTTTCTCCAGGGAGCTGAGTACGTGTTCCATATGGGGTTGATCCAATGACTGGAAGTAATAATGCCTTAGAGGCCTTGTTGGCGTTAAGTGCTATATAATTCTATTATTATTATTATTATTATTACTATAATAATAAGTAAAGTGTAGCAAAGAAAATATGGAATGTGGAGGAATTAAACCAGCAACACAGAACAGAATACCACTCTGATGCTCTGCCACTGTGATAAAATCACTGCAGTTGGCAATGGTTGTTCTTGCAAAGTACTTTCTTGTTGAGGGGATCCAGAAAGTACCTTATATCAGCAATAGTCCCATATTTTACCCTGATAACACAAAAGACCATCAAAGAAGACAATAATAAATGGTTATTTAATTGAATTAAAAAAGAATATAATGACTGCCTAATATTAGAAAATGGCAGTAAGTGAAGAAAAAATATCAATGACTGCTGTATTGATTAATTACATGATCCGCAGCTCACCTTTTTCTTCCATTACCATGACATGAATGACAAGTGGTGGTGACCATTTCCCCGTCCCTATGAACGTGTTTTTGCCCTGATCCATGGCAGGAAGTACAGCGAACCTGAAGTAATTAAACCAAATTTAACAACTTAATGTTTATGTTTCATTTCACGTATATTATCAAGGCTGCACACCCCTTTTATTTTAATGAAATTGACTGCAATGATATTGGAAACATATTAATTTTTTTCTAGATTATTTAATAACACATAACTGAATTATTTTTTTATATTTATATAGCGCATATCTAAAACTCTATGCACTTAACATTTCCAGATTAAGTATTATTATTTATTTTATCATTTAATTGTTAATTAATAACACGTTTATTATTCAGAACATAAGGAAATATATTAATAAATGAAGTCAATTTTTGGTAAAACTTTGGTAAACCCTAAAATATGACATTAAAGTGCTCATTTAAAGCAGAGAAAAAAAAAGTTAAGAAATCAAAAATGAGACAGATATTTGGTTTACACTGATTTACATTATACTTTACAAAATCCTTACACTGATTAGCTGCAAGTTTAATGGACTATGCAAGGGAAATAGAATGGTATTTTCTTCTCCCCCATACCAAACTCCTGCTAGGCAGACCAGTTCTGCCTTCAACACTCATATTTTTTTCAGTTCTAACTAACTATCATACTGTTTCCAACTCATCCTCATTCACACCTTGCACCAACTAACTAGTTCTTGTTTCCACTTATTTTTAAGCCTAAGGCATTCAGAAGCGATGTTAAAAAAAATTCACCTCTCCTTAATTTGTATCTGATAACTCAAGGGGAAAATAACTTTTAATTGAAAGCAAAAAACTCTTTTTTTAAATACACTCTCTCTGTTGAACTAATATAAAATAATTCAATATTTAATCAATCAATCAAAATACAGGTCCCTACATTATTCACTACATAAAATACCACCATTATCATCATCTTTAAAAGTTATCAGAATTTTTTCACCTACCCTTCCTCTTCCATGGCAACGTCCACATCTGACAAAGCCTCTTGAAAAACAGTTGTGACATTCCTATAAGATAATTGAGCAACTGAGGTTTACAAGAAACATCATGATGCTAAAACTGCAAAAAAAAACTATTATCACATAAACCTAAACACAAGTCTTGATAATGATACTAACACTTCAATGCCATAAACACAAAATTAGTTGACACTAACAACACACTAATCCTTTGAAGGACTATGTGCACACACACACACACCGCTTGAGCACTACAAGATGTGATGCAGTCTTCTGATTGTTGTCGGCATAATAAACAGATCATTGCATTCTTCAAAATTGCATCGGCCAAGAATGTCAGTGCAGTGTTTATTTCTTTCTTTTTTTTTTTTTTTTATTTATTCAGGTACCTAATTTATGATTGAAAGCAAAAAGCTGGATTTGATTGCATTACATTACAAAAATATACATACATATTGGAAATAAATAGACATTGAGATTTTTTGCTAAATACATTAAAATTGAAAAAATTACCAAAGTACTAAACGTATTAAAAGTTGAAATACTATTATTTGCAATTGAAAAATTCTAAATATCAAAAATATAAATCTATGAGCTGAAAATTTATTTACACAATTCATTAAAATTACAATATAAATATATATAAATTCTTAACTAATTTTACATATTAATGTTCAATAAAAAAATGATTTTATCATCCCATCTAGGCTGGAAAAGTGATGAGGGAGGGAGGCTTTTCATTTTTATTTTGCTAAAGCCAAACATCATCATTGAGTTGTATGCTGATGTTTAAAAACATTTTTTTTTTTCTTTTCAAAAAGTTTTTTTTTTTAACCAATATTATAGAAGACATGTGGGTGGGGATGATATAAACCATTCGTTTTTTGGGGTTTTTTTTGGGCCAATAATATATTTTATACCATTAATTCATCAGTGTGTGCCCGGCTTCAGAGGCTCAGACAGTTACTGTCTTGAATGTAAAAAAAACAAAAATTATTTTCTCTTACCCCTGTCTTTTATACACATCTAGTTGTGTATAAAAGACAGTACACATACAACTCTTTGGTTGTAGCTGCTGCAGGATTGAGGACATACTTCTGGTTTTTCTGAACATATATTCATTTAATTAAGATAGAGTAAATCCGACAAACTTTCAAAAATTACATTCTTTCACTTCATTTTGGATAAATGTTATTTTGAAGTTTTAGTGTCAGCTGTGTCAGTATAATCTTGTTAATACGTCTATAACATGTTTGCCTTGGGTTTGGGTAACTTGATAATAGCGTTTTTTCAATCAATGTATATTTGACAATTGTATATATTTGGAGATCATATTAAGGACTTCCTATTATTTCTTGTTATTCACATTTCATCTTTTTAATACAATGTCCATATAATACTATGCAATTTAGCCTCTGGCAGCTGTTTTGTTTTCACATTTCATCTTTTAAATACAATGTCCATATAATATGCAATTTAGCCTCTGGCAGCTGTTTTATATTTTTATGTTTCATTGAATAAAGACCAGTAATAACATAATATGCACTGCTTGTATTAAAATGATCTAATAAAAACATAACTACAATTAAATGTTTACTGATATAATAGACTTCTACTAAGAAACTAGGAGAGAAAGAAATGAAAGAATACAAGCTCAAATTTTCAACCGAAAGCTAATATATAAAGCAAAATAAATATTAATTAGAACATTTGCTACGTATTCATTTAATAAAAAATGAGGTTAATGAATATTGTTCAATAGAAAACTATACATTAATAAATAAAGACATGAAAAAGTTTGATTAGGCTTATAGATGTGCTGAAAGGTATGTTCGTCAATTAAATATTCATTGGACCCTCTTTTATCTTATAATTTGTTAAATGTATCACTACTTTATTTTCTTTTTTAACAGTTGCGAAAAGGATAAAAAATGTGTTGGATATAGATGTTGATAGAAAATAAAGATGATCTTGAACAACATGAAATTTAAAAAAAAAATGTTATTGTTTAAATTTATTAATTCAACAAAGTCAATATCTATTACAACAAAATAATAGGATCATAATACTCTATGTATGTGAGCAAATTAAAGAACTTGAATTTAATGGGAGTATAATACTTGACAACTAAACTGGAAGAAAAAAAACAGTAGTACTGTAGTGATAAAATTTACCATCAGCAAACATGACACTTTCATAGCCAGGAACTGGAGTGAAGTTAGGGTTTGAAGGAAGTTCAGTGACTTTTTCTTGAGCATTGTCATCGTCTTCAGGGTCGGAGTCAGGACCATCATCCCATTTGTAACCTGGTTCATTAGCCTCATTTGATGAAGGTGCCCAGGCTGTCCAAAATATTTTTAAAATGGATATTTTAGATTTAGACTCCTATGCAAACTTGTTGTAGGTACATTCTCTCAAATTAAGATGCAAAATTACAGAACACAATATAAATATCACAGATCTGTGTAAACATGAAGCCTATGGTACATACTAAAAATAAAAGATTGAAATATGAATAACAGCCAAATTTAAGACATGAGCAATTGGGGGGAGGGGGGAATGGGACATGTGTCCCTGTTTTGCCACTACATCTTTAAATTTAAGAACGATAGCCCACCGTCTTTCGGATGAGACGTTTAAGCTGTTGGTCCCGTGTTCAATATGGCCCATGTGCACGTTAAAGAATGCAGTACACTCTTCAGAAAAGAGTAGGGGATTGTCTCCCGGTGTACTGCCCAATTCACCACCAAAAGGATCCTGAAGCAAATCTTCAGACTTCCTTGGAGTGATTCACACCGAAATACTTGCCTTATCCTAAATAATAATGGGTTCACTGTTTGGCCTAATTGTAAGACACTTACCTGCTAGCTGGGGAGGTGCCTGGCCTTGCGGTGCACCTACCTGGCCTTCCGACGCTGGTAGAGCACCGTTTGTAGATGGGTATGCCCCTCGTTGCTGCTGAGGGGGTACACGTTGCTGCTGAGGGGGTACACCTTGCTGCAGTGCAGTACCATTTGTAGGCGGATATGCCCCTGGTTGCTGCTGAGGGGGCACAGCTCCATACCATTGCACTGTAATACTATTTGTAGGTGGATATGCACCAGGTTGCTGTTGAGGGGGCTGGGCCCCATATCCTTGTGGCGGGACAGTGTTGGGTTGCTGAGGTTGTGGATAACCTGGATATTGCTGTGGAGGGAGTGCCCCACCATAGCCTGGCTGAGGTGGTGGGTAGCCTGCTTGTTGTTGATTCACCTGACCAGGTGGGTATGGCGAGGGTTGGTTTTGTCCATTGTCCATTATGCTAGTATGAAAGAACACAATGATAATTTCAAATTAACAAAAATTATTTTGGAGTTACATAAACAATAAATGTTTCAGTTTATCAATTGTATAGAAGGTGTGTGTGGGCAGTGGTGTAGTTTTCAAGGAATCATCCTGACTATTTGGATCAAAAATCCATTTATTCTTCCGTGCATGGCTAGAGAGAGAGAGATGCACGAAGTATAGCTTTGTCACTCTCCTGTGTGTATGTAGCCTATCCATAACAGAACCTTGAGCAGTTTTTTTACATGACTGTGTGCATACACGTCAAGGCTCACGCATTCGGCATGAGACTCACACGTAGAACCCGGTGGAGTGAAAATATATCCCCCAAATATTTGACAAGGGGGGGATGGTCCATTGTATCATCCCCCCAATATTTTAACTATGTATGGGATAAAATGAGCTTTACACACTTAAAAAGACTGTCACAGAAATAATTTGAAATGTCTTTTGCGCTAGATGAAAATTAGCATAATGTATTAATGTTGATAACAATATTATTTTATATGGTACCAATCTAATCTCTTCTTTCCGTAGATGTTAGATGTGCTTGCAAAGTAAGCCACATTTTCACACTGAAGGGTGTGTACGACATCATTAATTTTATATCAATTCCAAGAATTTTTAAGGTTATATCGGTTGATGAGGAATTTATTGATTATAATAGCAAGGAGGAACTTTTTAGGTACGCTAAAATTGTTCTGTAAATGTAAGAAAAAGGTTAAAGGTTATAGCATTAAACAAGGAAGCATTGTGAATATCTCACAGATACAGATATGGCATATTGTTAATGGTAAATTTTATTTTCATTTTGATCAAAATTTCACTAAAAGTGCACCAATTTATTTTGCAAAAACAAGGTTTCCAGCTTCCGGGGTGGGCACATCCCCTGTCCGCACACATTGGCGCTAACATGCCAATCATCCAACCCCCCCCCAATGAAAAATACTTTTCTACGCCACTGGACTCACGCATTGAAGGTCTGTCTCATGCTCGACCAAAATCTCATGTATAAAATGTAATATTTTCAACAACAAAAAAAAAAGAAAATATATACGTATAATTTCTAGATCTCTTGTTACTCATCATCTAATGTACTAAAAGTAGGATTGGTTTTGTTATTATACATTCAAACACAAATAAATGATGCACTACACCTGGGAGTTGGGTTAGCTTTCTATTTTCGATTGTGGATGGCAGAAATATGCATTCTCAAGAAAAAATGCATGATTCCTAACAGATTTTTAGTTGTAAATACAACCCCAAATAGCAAAGAATGCAATTTCCGAGTGTCTAGGGGAAAACATTCGGGGGGGGGGGGGGTTANGGGGGGGGGGGGGGGGGGGGGGTAAATGCTCCGGCAGAATTAGAACTGCCTGTAAACATTTGTTTGTTTGTTTGTTTTATTGCTTTTACCACACACACATAAAATATAAATTAATCAACGATAAATATTACAATTGAAATACATTTCAAAAATTTAAAAAAAAAAAAAAAAAAAAAATGTGCGGTAGGAGGTCAAAATAATAATAATAATAATAATAATAATAATAATAATAATAATAATAATAATAACAATAATAACAGCAATAATAACAGCAATAATAATAATACGTAAATACCTGAAAAAGGCCTAGGCCTCTTCAGCTTAAAAAAAAAATGCATTCGCCTAATCATTCGCCGTCGCACGCCTCCCTGGCCTGGGTGTGGTAAGACCTAATGTCAGTGATGTCCGAGGAGGCCTCATCACTTTGTGATGCAGTAAACTTACACATGACAACCTATGTACCGGTAATAGTAATATATTTCTAATTCTAATTTCCATAATTTATAAGGTAGCAATGTTAAGTAAATATTTATAATTAAATCACTGTTTAAATTAGGACGTTTACCTTCGAGTGATGCAGCAAACCAGCTTAGAACTGAGACGACAACAGAGCAAAATAGAAACGATGACCTCTGGAGTACCTTCTTCTGTATTTTACTACGCTTCGCTGATTCCCAAACACCCAGATTTTCCTCATTGAATCAGGCCACGATCGATATGTTATTGAACTTAAGAGTCGTTATGGCTACATACCATAACATCTTACCATAACACATTTTTGTCGTCCGCACTGAAATAATCCTGATGAATGGTGATCATTTCTGTACCGATTTCAAGTTAACATTGAAGGCCGCACTTATCATTTGATTGCTGTTAATTGATGACCGAATGATTGGTATTGTTAATGCATAAATTAAAGTGTGCTGAACAAGCAATAATAAATGTATAGAGAGGCCGGTAGGCTAGATGGAATCATCAGTGACATGGATCGTTGAATGAAAGATTTGGGATGAAAACGCGGATGCGGTATCCTCCCAGTTGGTCGAAACCCGGTTTGCCGAATTTAACCCACTTTGCCGAAAACCGAGTTTGCCGAATCCAATTCACCGAAAACATGAAACCCGGTTTGCTGAACCCAGTTTGCCGAATTTGAATTTTGTCGTCACCGTCGTAGAAAAGCGCAGCACACTACTAGTACTATTTTGAAATAAAAATGTCATAAACAGCAATTATGTAGGCGAAACCAAATGTAAACTCAGACCATAGACCTATTAATAGATCCATGCTCAGACTTAACAACCCCAAAAAGCCATGTTTGAGTCAGTCATGTTTCATTCTTGAAATCCTGAGCTGCACTGATAAGATCTAACGACCGAAACAGTACTGCAGTCTGCAGATTGGATATATACTGTCTCTTATACACATCTAGATGTGTATAAGAGACAGACTGTGTGCATACACGTNNTCTAAGCGATCATTCTCTTTCACGTTAAGCTAGGCCTATGCAGAATATGACCCTGGCCTAGGCCCCTTCTTTTTATTTTATTTTTTTTATTTTATTCAATTTCCAGGTAACATACAAAAATACAAACAAACAGTGGAGCACCCCGTGGATTGCCAAAAGTACATAAGTACTATCAGGCGGCTCTCCAATGCAACACCATTACACAAACATTAAAATTTAAAAATTAAAACTGCCTAATAAATAATCGAAGAGCAGTCACAAAAGCGTTAAAATTAAACACAGAAAGGTTTCTCACATCTTCAGGTATATCTTCTCTCTATGCCTGGTTACTGAATTGTACTTAATTATTATTTAATAAATAACTTTTATACAATTACAATACAGACATGGGAAAAGTTAATATTATTAATTATTATTAACTTTCCGTCACCCCTTTCTAGGCTTATGCCATGGCAATTTTGTTTAAAAGCAATGAAACAAAATGATAAATCTTAACTTTAGCAATCACACATAAACATAAAATTCATAGACTGAGTATTTTATTGTAGTAGCCCGTGAAGTAATATTATCCTCATTAGACCATTATTGGTTTTTTTTCTATGATTACGGCCTCCCTACCCCTAAAATAAGACAAGCTATAGGCCTATGTATTACTTTGTTCTTTGCATTGATGATATTCCAGGGATCCTAATTAAAAAAAAACAAAAAAAAAACAGGGACATAGACTAGCTAACTTACTATTTTGTCTTATGTTTGTACGGTACTGTATCTTGATATGCCGTGTGATTACCAGCCACCCCCCCCCCCCATTACCACCACCCCCCCCCCCCCCACTCCACTTTTGTTTTTTAAACTAAAACAACCACTTCAGCCGAGGGAGCGTGACTACTTATTGGTGACATGACAAGCATAATTTCAGCTGTACTACGTTGGGCCTTTATTCCTAATCTTCAAGACAAAGAGTGGGCCCTGGTAAACACGAAGTTTAGGCTTATGATCGTTTTTATTTTTGTACTGATTTAAAAAAAAATATTGCCATAGCTACAATATTCCAGAAGAAGAAAAAGGGTGACGGAAAGCTATAAATAATAATTCAATTAAATATTACCTTTCTCATATGTCTGTATTGTACTGTAATTGTATAAAAGTTATTTATTAAATAATAATTAATATTCAGTACAGGATTCTCCAGTAGCCAGGCCTAGAGAAGGTGCCTAGGCCAGGGTCTTACAACATATTCTGCATAGTCCAAGCAATATTTTTTTTTTTAATCAGTCAAAAAATAAAAACATCATAAGTCTAAACTTAATGTTTACTAGGGCCCACTCGTTGTCTTGAAGATTTGGAATAAATTAATACGTACTACAGCTGATTATGCTTGTCGTGTCGTCACCATAAGTAGCCACGCTCCCTCGGCTGAAGTGGTTGTTTTAGTTTTAAAAAATAAGGGGGAGGGGGTTGGTAATCACACGGCATAGCAAGATACAGTACCGTACAAACAGTAAGACAAAATAAAGTTAGCTAGTCTATGTCCCTGTTTTTTGTTTTTGTTTCTTTTTTTTTTTTAATTAGGATCCCTGGAATACCGTATCATCAATGCAAAGAGTAAAGTAGGCCTAATACGTAGGCCTATAGCTTGTCTTATTTTAGGGGTAGGGGGGGGGGCCGTAATCATAGAGAAAAAAACAATAATGGTCTAATCAGGATAATACTTCACACGGGCTACTACAATAACATACTCAGTCTATGAATTTTTTTCCAATGAACAATTATACTGGAAGAGACAATGGGCCTAATAAATCAAAATTACAATTTTTACAACATGATTGCTGATCTTCCTTTCAAGCCATGATCCTTACTAAGGTGCGTCGCCAGTTTGCCCTTTCATATAATCATCATGCTTGAGTGTGTTTATGTGTGATTGCTGAAGTTAGGATTTATCATAATATTTCGTATTGTTTCATTGCTTTTAAACAAAATTGCCATGGCTATAATAGGCCTATATTCTAGAAGAAAGGGGTGACGGAAAGTTAATAATAATCAATGATATTAACTTTTCCCATGTCTGTATTGTAATGTAATTGCATAAAAGTTATTTATTAGCCAGGCATAGAGAGAAGGAGCCTAGGCCAGGGGCCATATTCTGCATAGGCCTAGCTTAACGTGAAAGAGAATGAGGCCTATACTACTGTGTGACCGGGTAGCTGGACTGGGCATCGGCTAGGTCTCCTAGTCCGACTTATGCAGCCCAGGCTGAAGTGGTTGTATTTTAGCAACTCCCATGTTCCCACCGGCAGCCAAAAGTTTTAAGAATATAAATTTCTATCACTTCAGCCGTGAGACAGTCGCTTCGTCCGCCGTGAACCTCACGGCGGAAGTTGTACTTTCCACGGAAGTTGTGATTATGAAAGTTTGACGTGACATTTCAAAAGTTGTTCCGTGAATTTTGAAAGTGTGCCGTGGGTTTATAAGAATTTTGAAAGTGTGTCGTGGTTTTTAAAAGTGTGCGGTGATTTTGAAAGTATGCCGTGATTTTTTAAAGTGTGCCGTGTGGTTTCGAAAGTTGCCGTGAATTTCGAAAATGTGGCCGTGACATTTCGAAAGTTGTTGCCGTGACACTTATGGGCCACCGTATGATAGCTATTTCTATCAATAGGCGTCCACGTTTGATTTCAGAATGATTGCCAATTAAGAAAGGTACATGAAAGAAATGGAAATTAAAAAAATTAATAGAAAACAGTTAAGGGATAACAAATTGGTAATCAATCGAAAGTAATGAAAATAAAAAAAATAAGTAAATAACTGCTTTGTATGGTATAAGAGCAAGTACAGAGGGAGAGAGATAGATGCAGATATTAAACATCATTTATATTAAAGCTAGTTTTAGCATAAATGAAATTATGTAAACATAAATCAAATATTCAAATTAATGGTGTGAAGACACTAATATCAAATAGACCTCATATCTATAAGAGTGCTAATTATCATTTTCAAATGATATATAAACATATGTATATTGAAAGGAAAAGAAACGGAAAAGAAAATTAAAGAAAGGAAAAGAAAGAACGGAAAGGAAAAGAAAAAACTGGAAGGGGAAAAGAAATAAAAAAGAATAGCAAATGAATATAATGGAGAAAGTTAAAAGAAATAAAAGAAACATACTTTTCTTAAGAAAATTCAGAAAAGTATATAGATAACTTTAGCATAAATGAAATAATGTACACATAAATTAAATATCACATTCAGGTAATGGTATGAAGGCAATAATATCAAATGGGCTTCTAAATATCATTTTCAAATATGTATATAATTAATTTTTGTGTGTAGCACTGTGTTTATATTATTAATTAATGGTGAAAACGGAGCTCAATTAAATGAAAAGTGATGTGAGTATCGTATCAGGAATAGCCTATCAAATAAAAAAAAGTTCCTTATCAACTGTTAGAAAATATGCCCCTGGCGGCGGGAATTAAAATGTGATTTCTTGCTATCAAGGTGAGTGCCATACATATTTACCACTAGGGGCCCCTGGTTTATCGCAGATACAACCCAACCAGGACACTTCTTCAAACAAATTATATACTGTTGCCAAAGAACACTCTAGAAGTCATACCTGTATTATAATGGGAGTAACATATAGAATCAATGTTGCTGCGTAGCATTGTGGTACAGTATAACTAATCAAATAATGACAGAAACAGTGCTAAATGAACAATGATGTAAAGATCATATCAGGCGCAACCTATCAAAGAAGAAGTTCTTTATCTGTTGTATGAAAAAGACAAAAGTGTCCCTAGTGAGAAATTAAACCATGCATCAGTTTTTTGAGAATGTGTCCTAGTTGGATTTATCAGGAAACGAATATTTCGTGTATATATATATAT